TGATATTTCAGTAGCTATGTGTTAAACTGTAAGGGTGATCATAAATGTTGATATTTGAGTAGCTATGTGTTAAACTGTAAGGGTGATCATAAATGTTGATATTTCAGTAGGTGTATGTTAAACTGTTAGTGTGATCATTGATGTTGATATTTCAGTAGCTATGTGTTAAACTGTAAGGGTGATCATAAATGTTGATATTTCAGTAGGTGTATGTTAAACTGTTAGTGTGATCATTGATGTTGATATTTCAGTAGGTGTGTGTTAAACTGTGTTATTGTTGGTGTTGATATTTCAGTAGGTGTATGTTAAACTGTTAGTGTGATCGGATTGATGTTGATATTTCAGTAGCTATGTGTTAAACTGTAAGGGTGATCATAAATGTTGATATTTGAGTAGGTGTGTGTTAAACTGTTAGTGTGATCATTGATGTTGGTATTTCAGTAGGTGTATGTTAAACTGTAAGTGTGATCATTAATGTTGATATTTCAGTAGGTGTATGTTAAACAGTTAGTGTTTTCAGTAGGTCCATGATAAAACTGACAAATATAATTTTTGATCACTGATGATCATAATGTCAGTTGGTCCATGCCAACAGACAGTTCTTAGTAGTGATCGTTAAATATGCTCAGTTGTAGGTTATAAGAGTATAGAGACAAGGAAGTTGTCAAATGGAAATATTGAATAAATATTATAACACATTCAGTTAGATGAGAAAAAAATTAAGTGTTGAGGGATTAAGATTTTATTGTAATTGCACTATGCTTTCTCTCTTGTCTCTTATATATTATGAAATATTGTGAAAGATAATATGTAGATATCTTGTCTCACCAATAAAGTGAGTCTGTATATCAAACTATATGTGTTTTTAGATATAATTGAATTGAATTTGCCAGTGGTCACTTACAAGTAAGGATATGTAGAAAAAAATCTTACACTAAATTTTTACTCTCATCATTACACTTAAAGGTGGAACATAGATTATACAGAACAAAAAAATGAAGTAATGTCCAAAACTTGATAATAAAAAAAGTGTGTATGACATACTAGGTAGTATTGATATTAACTTACTGTGTGTAATGGTTTTAGATTATCAGTACAATCAATAGTACATGAATTAAACATCTACTCCAGCAAAGTGCAGTCTGATAAGAAAACATAAAAAATGACAGGGAATGAAACACTGATTTCTTTCATTAAAATCAACGTGAATGTAGAGTTTTGTATGACTACTGGCATGTTTAATAAAGGAGAGCATTGTTTATCATCTCTTACAACAGGGAGGGCTAAATTGTTTTCTAACATGCAATCAAAGAAAAGACTGGACACATTTTAAACAAAGCTTTTGTTTTTATTAAGCATTTATATATACATTCATATTGTGATCAGTTTTGCAGATTTTTCCAACAATCATTTGCCTTCTTACTGTTGAATTAAGGGATTCCACTGAAGTTTTTTTGACATGAAGAGATCTACTTGAAATATTTTTACAATTCTTTTGTACCATTTGATAAAGGACTGTTTCGATCATTCCTTCATTCTGTTTTTTTTTTCTTCAGAATAATTATTTTTATTGAGTGAAAATGACCAAAAGATAAAAAGCTTAAAATCGATTTTCACTCAAACCAGGCTAATAATCATTTTCAATCTTTATTATATTTCACAGATATTTCTATTTTAAGGGTATCATTTGATATTTGCAAGAATTTCAAAGTTTATGTTTTCTCAGTGGAGCTCCTTTAAGTAAAGGGTATTTTTTGTCCTCACTTTCTATACATTGTATTTTCTGTCTGCACTATGGATTTATTTCTATCTATCTGTTCCATGACTTTCTGTCTGCACTATCTTATTTCTATCTATCTGTTCCATGACTTTCTGTCTGCACTATCTTATTTCTATCTATCTGTTCCATGGCTTTCTGTCTGCACTATCTTATTTCTATCTATCTGTTTCATGGCTTTCTGTCTGCACTATCTTATTTCTATCTATCTGTTCCATGGCTTTCTGTCTGCACTATCTTTTTTATTTCTATCTGTTCCATGGCTTTCTGTCTGTACTATGTCTTTATTTCTGTTTACCTTATGTCTTTTTCTATGTGCACTATCTTTCTGTCTGCACTATGTATTTATTTCTATCTGAACCATGGCTTTCTGTCTGTACTATGTCTTTATTTCTGTTTACCTTATGTCTTTTTCTATGTGCACTATCTTTCTGTATGTACTATGTATTTATTTCTATCTGTACCATGGCTTTCTATTTGCACTATGTATTTATTTCTATCTGAACCATGGCTTTCTGTCTGTACTATGTCTTTATTTCTGTTTACCTTATGTCTTTTTCTATGTGCACTATCTTTCTGTATGTACTATGTATTTATTTCTATCTGTACCATGGCTTTCTATTTGCACTATGTATTTATTTCTATCTGTACCATGGCTTTCTGTCTGCACTATGTATTTATTTCTATCTGTACCATGGCTTTCTGTCTGCACTATGTATTTATTTCTATCTGAACCATGGCTTTCTGTCTACACTATGTCTTTATTTCTGTTTACCTTATGTCTTTTTCTATGTGCACTATCTTTCTGTATGTACTATGTATTTCTGTCTGCCCTATATATCTATTTCTGTCTGCACTTTGTCTGCTTTTTGTCCAGAAACTTGTAACCTCAGTCATTATTTTCTAAATGGATTGTCTTTAGGACAATGTCTTAAAGAAGATCAAACTCAATTTGACCTTTACTCACAAATGACCTTGACCTTGATGTTCACATAATTGTAAGTTCACAGATTTTTGCTATAATTATGCCCTCACTATATGGGGGATTTAGATTAACCTTTGTCCATCCATCCTTTCGTCAGTTTGTGCTTATGTTGTGTCGCACCTAACTCAAAAAGTATTTGACTTAGAGTCATGAACCTTACAGAAATGTTAGTCGGCATGTGTAGTTATGCACCTGGGTATTTGCATGTGGATTTATTCAGTATTTGTAGACTTAATTACCCTTGACTTAGTAAATATTTTCAATTTTTAATTTGTGTTGTGCATAGCTCAAAAAGTATTTAACCTAGAGTCATGAAATTTTCATTGAATGTTGGTCAGCATATGTAGTCGTGCACCTGGGGGTTTCCCTTGTGGATTTATCCAGTATTTCTATAATTCTTGCCCTTGGAAGTACAAACTTGCAATTTTCAACTTTAGTCATGTGTAGCTCAAAAGTATTTGACCTAAAGTGATAAAACTTTACAGAAATGTTGGTTGGCATGTTTAGTTGTGCACCTGTGATTGATTGTGGATTTATTCAGTATTTGAAGAGTAATTGCCCTTGATTTAGTAAAAACTGTTTCATTATGTTGTGTTATGTGTTCCTTGTAATCCTTAAGTTAGAATCATCCAACTTAACAGGAATAAAGATCAACATCACTGTGAGGCTATGCACCTTGGGTTTTGCATGTGGATTTTTTTCAGTTGTGGTAGAATTATTGCCCTTGACTTAGTATAAATTTGCAATTTTCAACTTGTTCATGCATAGCTCAAAAAGGATTTGACCTGTAGTCCTGAAAGTTTATAGGAATGAGGTTCAGCATGTGTAGTTATGCACCTTGGGTTTGCTTGTGGATTTATTCAGTTTTTGTAGAGTTTTTGCCCTTGACTTAGTAAAAGATTTTCAGTTTTCAACTTGTGCGACTTGTTTAGCCCAATAAATATTTCACCTAGTGTCAGTAGATTGACAAAACAGTGGAGTGTGGGGGCACCCCTGTTCTATGGACACATTTCTAGTTGTTGCATCTCTTTTTCCTCAATTATCTCCCATTTATACTTCTGAATACTGGTATGGCATGTTTGATATTACTTAAGTTCTACATGTACCTATGGCTTCAAAGTTGATATGATTACTTAGACAAATACCATGGCCTTCGCAAGTTAAATATATGTGGAATTAATTGTTCTGCCTGTCCTGTTGTTTGAATGGTTAACCAATTTAGTTGGATATAGCTGGCTATTAACATGCATACCAATACAAAATATATGGGAAAATAACTTTTTGTAGCTTGCCAGAAGTTTACTGAAATTGACTGGCACATTTAAGTGGGGGAAATAAATTGCCCACTTGGCAGTAAAATCAAAACTAATTCATTTGATATCCATATAGTCACAATTACTGCACAGCAGACTAAATGGCCAGGGAAAATATACTTTCTCTCTAACATTCTATTTAATAATGTTCAATGTCTCCAGATTTTGATATTTACTGTCTGTTTCATTTAGTAATTGATAGCTTTAGATACTGTCTATCAGAATTAAAAAGGTTGGTGTGTATAACCTTTTGGTATAGAATTGTTTCATTGTAAGGCAGATAGTGTTTCATTTTAAAATATCTGTATTGAATCAATATCTAATTTAGAGTTGGTGAGAACAACGACCAATAGTCCTCATTTCTCTCAGCCTGTGTGTCACAAGTTGAAGCTTCTACATGGAACTCATAAGTAAAACTTGCACATGTATGTAATAAAAGCCAAATATTGTTGCTGAAATTGTAAAAACCTTCACCATCATCTACAAATATTTTTCAAATTATTTTTATTTCATTAAAAACATGGCTGCTAAGGTATATTGTTTTCTTTCCCTATATGATATTTGTTGGCAAAACTTCGATAATCTGCTAAAAACTGATTGTTTTTGCTATTATTTCACAGAAATTATCTCAAGGTGACTTTCTACTTGTTTCATTTACAACAAATTTTTAAGTTAAAAGACAATTTGTAGATTTGATTCACATTCTTATGTATATACAGAATTCAAGTTAAATATGTTGGTCAGATTTTTATATAATTAAATAGAAATCTTTCAAGGGTGGCTGATCACCGAGAATATCCGATGGGGTTTCATTTCCATACATATTAATAGAGAAATTTAGAAACTATGTTGAGTGATGTAAGACCATCATGGCCTTCTTGTATATATAAATATATATCTTATGTATTATTTCTTTTTCTTTTAGAGTGATGTAACAATTGTGGTTGATGATTTTGCTGCCAGTAACAACTCTGAGCTTACTGTTCATAGAGGTCAACAAGTAGAGGTCATTGACCTATCACCAGGGCAACCAAATTGGTGCTATGTTAGAACTCTTCAAGGTGATAGCTTAGAACAAGGTCAAGGACTTGTTCCTACAGCAACACTGAAACCTATACCACGATTGTTGGGCCCAGGGTCAAGATCAAGTCTTGAATTTGAAGGTAAATTATTGAACAGTCATCTTGACTTTTAGCTCTTAATCCCATGTAATGTTGGAATTATGGGTACTTTGTATGACTTACACACATTCTTTTCCCTGTATGAGTTTTTTGTAAAGAGTTGGCTGTCTCATAATAAACTGTTTAATGCATCTCAACAGAAGCAATAAATGTCACTTCACTACCTTAAACAGCTTGTCTGTAAGACAAAACATCTAGGAAAAAGAAGAATAGATTGGCACAGTCTATGTCATACTGTCTATCGAAGTATGTTGTAAAATAAGCAATTTTTTAAGACTCTTTTTTAAGACTCAGAGTGAAGATAACTTTTATAATTGTTCTCTTTTTTAAATGAGTGTATGTTCAATACTGAATTTATTGAACGAGTTGAATTAAATTATATTATGCGAGTCTCTGGGGTGCAAAATATTATTTTATTTAAAGAGTTTGATAAATTTAGTAATGAACCTATAAATTTATTTCATTGAAACTTCATTTGTGGATGTACCTTGATGAGGTCTATCTGCTTAACCCATTTTCAGGTCTGAAGGTCAAAGGTCACTGTAAACTTAAATAACAAGACATTAAACATCTAACTGCTTCACCCATTTATATGTCAGAAGGTTAAAGGTAAAGGTTGCTGGAACCTGTAATAACTTAAACATTAGGCTGCCCATTTCATAAAAGCGCATTGGCCAACTTCTTACTTTTTATATAGATACACTTTGATGAGGTCTATCTGCTGTACCCATTTAAGGTCAAAAGGTCAAGGTCAAAATGACCTTTGTTAACTTTTTAGCTCACCTGTCACAAAGTGACAGGGTGAGCTTTTGTGATCGCTTTTCCGTCCGGCGTTCGTCCATAAACTTTTACTTTAAATGACACCTCCTCATAAACCACTAAGCCAATTTCATCCAAACTTCACAGGATTGTTCCTTTGGTGGTCACCTTTAAAATTTGTTCAAAGAATTTTATTCCATGCAGAACGAAAAAACTTTAAATATCTTCTTTTAAAAAACCCAAAGAGCTAGAGCTTAGATATTTGGCATGAAACATCTTCTAGTGAGTGTCTACCAAGTTTGTTCAAATAAAAGCCCTGGGGGGTCATTGATTTTCCTTATATGTGTATAGCAAAAACTTAAAAATCTTCTTTGAAAAAACCCAAATAGCTAGAGTTTAGATATTAAGCATGAAACATCTTCTTATGGGTGTCTACAAAGTTGTTCAAATAAAAGCCCTGGGGTCAAAACTGGCCCCGCCCCAGGGGTGTCATTGTTTTTAACTATATGTGTATAGTAAAAACTCAAAAATTCTTCTTTTAAAAAACCCAATGAGCTAGAGCTTAGATGTTTAGCATGAAACATCTTCTTATGGGTGTCTACCTAGTTTGTTCAAATTAAAGCCCTGGGGTTAAAATTGGCCCTGCCGGGGGGGGGGGGGGTTCATTGTTTTTCATTATATGTGTGTAGTAAAAACATCATGAAACATCTTCTAATGGGTGTCTTCCAAGTTTGTTCAAATAAAAGCCCTGGGAATTTTAACTGGCCCCGCTCCGTGGGCCTTTATACAAGTGAGCGACCTCAGGGCCATCATGGCCCTCTTGTTAGATTAAGTTTATGTTTATGGTCAAGTATGAATTGATATGTGGAAGTGTCTTGAGGACTTCTATGTGTCAGTCCTATTTTGGAATGAAAAAATGAGAAAAATGGAGCGCATTGCTCCTCAGACTAAAATTTGGGTTCAATAACTGCAATAGTTTCTTTAGTTACAATTCAAGCCAAAATTATAGTTCCTTACAACCAGAAATTTGCTATTAGTGTGTTCATCATCAATGAACTTTACTGAAGCCTTTTTTCTTAAAACCTTTGTAAAACTAGGAAGTTACAAAAGTTTTTTCACTTCCTTTTTGCTTTTTACTATAAAGAATTCAACAAATGTTATATGCAAACAATAGCTTGTTTATTTTAGTTAGCATTACTTAAAAATATATGGGATAACAATTGTTTTAAAATGGGAAATACATTTAAACAAAATGTTGGAAACATTTTTTGTGCAGGTAGACTGAAGTTTATGTTCTTCAATGCTTCTGAATTTGAAATTAATTTTAGCTTTTGAAGGGATTCTCATTTTACTAGCTCTACTTTTAGAAAATATATATATAGGTATTGGTACAGTCATGTTGGCGTTCCTGTAGCCGTTGTCATCCGCAAACTTGTACCTAGATCATAACTTTTAAGTTCTTGATGTGTTGTCTTCATACTTGGCCACAACAACCCTTTGGACAAGACCTTCAAGTAGACCAGACTAACCTTGACCTTCTTTCATAAATGACCTTGACCTTCACTCTGTATTAAAGTGTGCTAAAATATGCGGGACTAACTTATTCATTGATCCAAAAGCACATACAAAAGTCCTCTGTTTAAAGTAACATTAGATGATTTTACATTGAAACAGCAGAGTGTTAAAGATGAATTTTTTATTACCCGTGTATTACATAATATTTCACAATTAGTACTGACTGTACTGACTTATTTTTGTCCGGGCCAATTTCTCTTAAACTATAAAAGTTATAGACATGAAACTTCATAGGATGATAGATCTCATTGAGAAGAAGTGCAGTGTGTAAGAACCAGTACTCTGTACTTCATGATTATAGAGTTATTGCCCTTTGTTAATTATAATACTTTATTTTTTGTCCAGGCCAATTCCCCTACACTTTAAAAGCTATTTACACTTTAAAAGCTATTGAATTAAAACTTCATAGGATGATAGATCTCATTGAGAAGAACTGTGCAGTGCACAAAAACTTGTACTCTGCACTTCATGATTTTTGCCGAAAATTTGCTGTAAATTGCCTTGAATTGCAAAATTTGAATTTTTTTGTTTTAAGCTGCCTGACTTGCCAGTTGAAAACAATGATAAACTCTTAAAAAAGTTTTTACTTCCAAGTAATTATATGCACAACAACCAAAATTGTGAATATTTCTGCAGAAAACAGAAAAAATTCAATTGTCACATATTTTCGCGACACTGATACATTTATAATTATTAAGTGAAAAAAGGTTGTGTTCTGTTTAAAAATCTTTACTATTACGGCAGAAAATTTGTATTACATTGGTGCTGATGACATTTTTCAGTAAGTTATTCACACAAAAAAGCTGCATTCTGTGAATGTGTTTGCAAGTTTAATTTCTATAAGCTTATATGACCTAGTTCTGTGTGAGATGTGGAAATTGACAGTAGTTACTGTAAAGCTTACAAAATTTTATTAGAACAAACAAAAGAAATTGTCTAATAACAGTGGAAAATGTGTGTTAAGTATTCCACATGGAAAGTCTTATATTGCTTTCTATCCCCTATTCCCACCTGGAATTCTTACAGTACCAAGGTTTACATGCCCCTAATATTGTAAATACTGTAATAATGCATTTCAAGCATTATGTAAACTTAAAATGAATCTTTTATATTATTGTCCAGAGCATAACTTGGTGATAAGTTTGATTGAGTTGAAATTTGGCATGTAAGCTTTTTTCATTGACCTGAATTAATTGTAGTGCTTATCAGAAATATCAGACACATTTGTGCCTGCTCTATAAGTCTTATACCCCTGAAAGGATTTTCTTCAAATTTGGCTCAAATTTTCATCTCAACATGGCAATGTGCAAAACACATGCTGCTACTGCATGCTCAAGGTCAAGGTCACACTGGACAGTCAAAGATTAAATATTTTGTATCTGCTCTATAAATCCTGTACCCACTATAATTAATGATTTTCTTCAAAATGTTTTCCTTAACCCTTTCCCTCATGAGCATATTGTGAAAAATGGCCGTTTTCATTGAAAAGCCTCCTGTTACAAGTTCAAACTGCTATGAAACTATGAAAAATGCATCAATACTAATCAAACTTGGCACAAATATTGAATGGACCATTGCCTTTGTAACGACATGCTCAGTCTTAAATTTCCTGTTACCATGGCAACGAGGGGACATCTCAAAATTGCCAAAAATCACTATTTTGCGTTGATTTTTTCCATCAAATTTGATATCAAAGTGCTGCAACTTCTCAATGGATTGAGATAGAGTCAAAGGCTTTTCAGTGTTGGTTACACATTACCTTATGATGGACCTGGAGTCATTTATAGCCTCTCACAAGTCCAAAATTTTCTTAGCAAACTCCCCAAACAGAAGGGCACACGTCCCCGTTCTGGCAACCCCCTGATGTATCTTTTTGATGAGAGGCGGCGCCAAGAAAGTTATCACTTTTTTTAGCAACATTTTCCAAACAAAAAACAGTGTTTGGGGTCTAAATAGGGTAATTTTTAACTGTTTGAGGCCTCAAAAAGGGGGGGGGGGTGAAAAGCCGTCAAAACACGTCTATATGAAGTAAAGGGTTAACAAGCCAGTTTACAAAACCCATGCCGCTTCTATGCAAGCTCAATGTGAAGGTCAAAATTTGAAGATTTTGTGTCTGCTCTACAAATTAATTACTTTTCAAATGACTTTGTACAGGTGTCTTTTAAAAGTAACAATTAATTCCAGTGTGTGTGTTGGGGGGGGGGGTTTATTTGCTATTCCTGTAGAAGCTCTAGTTATACTTAAAAAGGAAATTTGGTGTTAAAGAACCATAACACTACAATACTTAGTTTTTCATCTATTGAAAGCTATTGTTTAATTATTTCCCTTCATGATACTTACAAATGTTTGATTAGTCTTGTCTTGAGTTTAATTATCAGTAATATCTCATTGAAACTTCACATAGTTATAGAGACTAAAAAAGGAAGTGCAATGTCTGGGGGGATTCACTTCATTCATTTAACAATGACTAAAAAAGAGGAAGTGCATTGTCTAGAAACTAAACCTCTACCATGTTTGGTTTTTTAATTATCTGCTTTTATAATACTTAATAATGTTTAACACTTTTCCTTATACAGCCTTAATTCATTGACCTATGTCTTTCACATTTAGATATTTTCACAAACATACAACATTTAACAATATATGCCCATTAAAGGTATAAAACTATATCTTTTACAATTTATCAACAGTATAATTTTGATTCTGGAGAGTTGTAACATAAAAGGTCTCTGTTACTGAACACACATAAATTTTATTTATTGTCCCCCGTCTTTTCGAAGAAAAAAGTGGGATATAGAAATAGGCTCCGTCCCTCTGTCCGAGCTAACATAATTATGAGAGTTATGAGCTTCATTCCGTAGTTAAATAGAGAACAAAAACTCATAAAAATCATATTGTGAGCTATTTTTTGTTTTTATGAGCTTATGGACTTATATCCAGGTGTAGTTAATGAGCTTATTTGCCTCTTAAATATCAAATGTTGGTACATCCGTCTGTCTGTCCGAGCCATTTAATAGAAGTAGGGGGCCAAGTAACTGTAAAAAGAAAAAAGAGAATAATAGAGTTCATTCCGTAACAGTAGAATAAGGGGCCATGTTCCTCTATTAAACAAGAGAAATAACAAAAGAACTGGCCCCTTAGTCCATTTAATTGAAGCGTCGTCCGTCTGTCCGACCGTCCATCACACTTTTGTGTCCAGTCCATAACTTCGTCATTTATTAAAGGAATTTGAAATAACTTAGCACAAAATTTAATGTTTGTTATAATAAGACAATGTGTCATGAGCAAAACCAGACCCCTACCTCCAGGGTCAGATCGCACTTGCTCATTCAAGGTCAATATTATCTATTTGAGGGTATATGTTGTGTCCGGTCCATAACTTCTTATCTTTGAAGGGATTCTGTAAATACTTGCCACAATTGTTCACAATAATGAGACAATGTGTCATGCTCAAAACAGGTCACCGACCTACAAGGTGAAGGTCACACTTGGCGGTCAAAGATTATCATAGTCTGTTAAAGGGTATATTTAGTGTCCAGTCCAAAACTTTTTCATATATGAAAGGATTTTAAAAATACTTGGCACAAATAGTCACTATAATAAGAAGATGTGTCATGCACAACACCTGCATCCCTACCTCCAAGGTCAAGGTCACACTTAGCGGTCAAAACTTAACGTAGTCTTTATAGGGTATATTTTGTGTCAGATCTAGAACTTCTTTATAGTTCAAGGGATTTTGAAATAACTTGGCACAAATAGTCACAATAATAAGAGAATATGTCAAGTACAACACCTGCACCTCTACCCCCAAGATCAAGGTCACACTTGGAGGTCAAAGGTTAACAGAGTCTGTTATATGGTATATTTTTTGTCCAATCAATAACTTCTTCATAGATCAAGGGATTTTGAAAATACTTGGCACAAATAGTCACAATGATCAGATGATATGTCATGCATAACACCTGTGTCCCTACCTCCAAGGTCAAGGTCACACTTAGAGGTCAAAGATTTACATAGTCTGTTATAGGGTATATTTTGTGTCCAGTCCATAACTTTTTCATAGATCAAGGGATTTTAAAAATACTTTGCACAAATAAACACAATAATAAGACAATATGTCAGGCGCAAAACATGGGTCCCTTCCTCCAAGGTCACACTTACAGGTCAATGATTAACATAGTCTGTTATAGGGTATATTTTGTGTCAGATCCACAACTTCTTCATAGTTCAAGGGATTCTGAAAATACTTGGCGCAAATAGTAACAATAATAAGACGATATGTCATGCACAACACCTGCACCCCTACCTCCAAGGTCAAGGTCACACTTAGAGGACAAAGCTTAACATGATAGATTTTTATATTCCGTGTTTCATTTTATTTCTTTAATAAATTTATTGTTGCATTTGCATGTCTAGCATTGATTATAATTTTGGACTGAAAGTCCTGAGATCCATACCTGAATCTTCTGAAATAGCACAATTTTATGCTTCATATAAAACTTCCCTGAGGCGGGGGATGTTGGTATCTCTGTTACAGATTCATATACCTCACAACATCGGAATTTCAATTTAGTAATTTTTTTTTGTTCACTAAGTACTTAACTTTTTTAGATTATATCTAGTTAATTAATAAAATTGTCAATAATTAAATGTGATTAAGTGCCTTTGGCCTCTGGCTAATATGACAGTCTTCAGCCGAATAACAAGGCCATTATAAAACACTTAATCATTAACATTATAACATAAACAGAATAAAATGTTCCGGAACAAAATATTATTCTGCTATTTTAAGTAGGATTTTATCTCTTTAGCAACGATTTTGTGCATGAGCCATTTGTTTTTGCCAAATACTACCACATTTCTGTCAAGCAATTTGGAAGTGTTCTTTTTTTTTTTAATTCAAAAAACAATAATTTTTGGCAGCAGAATATAATTATATTACATAGCTTTATACACTTTTAAAAGCTGCACGCCTCTATATGAACCAAAATATTTCATTTATAAGGGGAAAAAAATTGTTCTAAGATTTTAGGAAAAGTATAAAGATAAAGTAATAATTACATGTTATGTGCAATTATTGCCTGATTTTGCAGTTTATATCATTTTTCAACTGTGAGTAAAGGCTATTTCTGCATATTTTAACCTCTTTTTAGCTGACCTGTCACAAAGTGACATGGTGAGCTTTTGTAATCACTTTTCATCCAGTTGTTGGTCTGTAGAATTTTTAACATCATTTCCTCATAAACCGCTAAGCCAATTTCATCAAAACTTTACAGGAATGTTCCTTAGGTGGTCACCTTTGAAAATTGTTCAAAGAATTGAATTCCATGCTTTAAGGACTCTGGTTGCCATGGCAATGGAAAGAAAAAAACTTAAAAAAAAACATCTAGAGCTTAGATATTTAGTATGAAACATCTTCTAGTGGGTCTCTACTGAGTTTGTTCAAATAAAAGCCCTGGGGTCAAAATTGGCCACACCCCAGGGGGTCATTGATTTTCCTTATATGTATATAGTAAAACAAAACAAAATCTCTTAAAAAAGCCAAAGAGCTAGAGCTTAGATTATAAGAATCTTACACTGGCTGCCGGTACAGACCGGAATATCTAGCTCAAGGGTAACTGTTAATGGCGGTAACAAGGCTAAACAGTTACCTGAGAGCTTAGATATTTGGTATGTAACATTGTCTTTTGTGGACCTCTACAAATATTGTTCGAATTATAGCCCTCAGGGTTAAAATTGCCATGCATAAGGCAAACATAGATTTACCTTATATGTATGTAGTAGAAAATTAAAAAAATTATTCTATAAATCTACAATAGCTAATGCTTAGTTTCCATAGCAACCAGTGACTTCATAGCAGCCATTGACTTTTCATAGCAAACTGTAAATTTTAATAGCAACCAGCAAACATCAACTTTCCATAGCAAAAAGTAAATCTACTATTGAATTTCATATTACATCACTGACTTCCAAGAAAACCATTTATTTTGTATAGCAAACAGTAATATCTTATAGATCTGTTGTTTTCCTTTTAGCAATAGCAGCAACCAGTGTAGTTTTTATACATGCACTATTTCAAATACAAATATGAACTGTGTGATATCAGTTTTTGATTTAGATTTTATTTCTGCTTTCATTCAAAGTTTACAATATTAATTGTTCCTAGTCAAGTAGAATATCAATATTCAGGAGAGCAATATTTTGGCCATCATGGCCCTCTTGTTGGTTATTGATGTGGAATGTAAGTGCTGCTTGCAAATTGTAATCAATTTCTATGTTCACTTACCAATATTTTACTTTTTGATACCTATAAAAAAATTTCATGCAAATTAGCATGAATCTAAAGTCATAAGTTGACTAGATACACAAGTAAAATTACATAATTGATCAGTTTAAAAATTGTGATATGATTTTGTTACAAATATGCATCTCATGATGAAATGAATTATTTTATATATTTTAGACTCTCCAGAAGCCAGTCCCAGTACTTCAATGGCTAATTTGAATTCATCATCACCAGTTGTGAAGAGGAGAAGTAGTGGTACAAGTTTCAGGTAAGATATGAGCCGCGCCACGACAAAACCAACATAAACATCCGCGAAGTCTGATCAGGATCCTTGCTGTTCGCTATCAGTTTCTCTACTTGTAATAGGGTTTGTAAGACGATGTGTCGCGTCCAAGAATTATGTCCCTACCTCAAAGGTCAAGGTCACAGTAACATTTTGAAGTTTCACTTTATCACAATAAGAGTTTATAGGTACACACATTTGTGTCCGGACTGTAACTTTGTCATGCATTGAAGGATTTTAAAATAACTTGGCACAAATGTCTACCACATCAAGATGATGTGTCACGGCTAAAGCTCATGTTTGTCCGTCCATCCAACTCCACTTACACAACAATCATGTCTAGACATGCATTGAGGGATTTTGAAATAACTTGGCACAAATGTCTATCTCATGACAACATTGTGTCGTGTCCAAGAACCACATCCCTTCTTCAAAGGTCAAGGTCACACTTATATTTTGAAGGTTCACGCTATCACAATTAGAGATTATAGGTGCACACATTCGTGTACGGACTATAACTTTGTCATGCATTGGAGAGTTTTAAGATAGCTTGGCACAAATATCTACCACATCAAGATGACGTGTTGTGTGTAAGACCCATGTTCCTACCTTGGAGGTCAAGGTCGATCTAATAGTTTGAAGGTACTTATGCTCATAAGAAGGGTTTGAAGGTACACATTAGTTTCCAAATTGTAACATTGTCATGCATTGAAGGATTTTATAATAACTTGGCATAAATATCTACCACATCAAGATGATGTGTCGCATCAAAGACCCTTGTCCCAAGGTGTTAAGTTTGCTATAAATAGCACTTAATTTACCAAGAGCAATATTCAGCAATTAGTTACTTTCACTCTCTTTTCTTTTTATAATACCTGCATGCTTAAGAAACCTTTTTGGGGGCATTTGTCACTTGCATGACAGCTCTTGTTATGCCCCTGAGCAGCTGCATTTTCAAAGAAATAAAATAGAGGTATTGCTATACAGTTATGTCGGCGTTCCCTTTGCCTCAAACTTTAACATTGATCATAACTTTTTAAGTTATTAGTGTATTGTCTTCATACTTGGCCACAACAACCCTTGGGACAAGACCTTCAAGAAGACCAGACTTACCTTGACCTTCATTCATTAATGACTTTGACCTTCAAGGTAAAATGTCTAATATTTGACCTTGAACTTGGAAAAGATTTTAAAATTCACAATTTCTAATCATTTTCTCGGCTACAAATATGCAATATGCAATTTGCAAAAGGTTAAAACTGAATAATAGTTTCAGGGCCTTGAACTTTGTATAAAAATGGTTTGTGTTAACTAAACTAAACTTCACCTTTATTAAAAAATTTCTAAATTTTGCTTGATTTATTAGTTGCTATAACTTTGTTCTTCAAAATTGAACACAATAATCTTTTAGGATAGACCCACAAAAAGTTAACCAGACCGACCTTGACCTTCACTCATAAATGACCTGTACTTTTAAGGTCAAATTATTAAAATGATCTTTTTTTTTCGCTGTAACTGACTATATCTTTTTTTATTAATGAAGGGTTTTACTTTATATTGAGACACAAATTTTTTAAGGATGAGACATTTATGTATATCAAACTTAAATTGATCTTGGCTCATTGATGACCTTGGCTTTGAAGGTTAAATTATTGAATTTTCACTGATGTTTGCTTTAATTGACTGTAACTTGGTAATTAATAATGGATTATATTCATACTTGAACAAACTTGGACAATACCTTCTAAAAGGTTGAACTGACCTTGAGCTTTAGATAACCTTGACTGTCAAGGTCAGTTTATTGAATTTTACTTAAATTGTCATTATTTTGTTATTTATGTACGGATTTGATTTAAAACTGGATAAAACAAAACTTGCTACCAAACTAACGTATTAAATAAGTAAGTTGTGACTTTAACCTTTAATAGATGTTATATGGAACTCGGCAAATGTAGGTTTTCCCCAGCTAATCTGTAGGTACAAACTTTTACCGTTATAGCTTCACTGCCTGTCACAATAGATAAGTCAACCTGTTGCGCTTCTTTTCAAAGCTGTAACTGTAGGAGTTTGTTTTTACCTACAGATTAGCTGGGAAAAGTCCAAAATATTCTTAATGTATTGACCTTGACTGTCAAGGTCAAATTAATGAATTTATGAAATTCTCCCAGTTTTACCTATAATGACTATGAGATTTGGACCATGTGCACAGTTTAAGATGTAAAATTAAACTTTTATATTATATGACCTAGATAATTGGATGAAATGACCTACTTTCTTGTCCTTGGATTTACAGGTTTGAAATTTGGACCATGTGTAGAATTTTAGATGTTAAATTAAACTTTGATATCAGCTGACCTTGATTGTTTGACAAAGTGACCTATTTTCTCTTCCATTGATGTACATCTATGAAATTTAGACCATGTGCATAGGTTCAGATGTAAAATTAAACTGTGATATCAGCTGAGCTAGATTTTTAAAAAGTGACCTTTAATGTACACTTTGAAATTTGGACCATGTGCACAGTTTTAGATGTAAAAGTGAACATTGATTATTAGATATCAGCTGACCTAGATAATTTGTGAAAGTGACCTACTTTCTTGTCCTTTGATGTAAAGCTAACACAATTGGGTCATGTGCACAGTTGAAAATTGGACAGTATGGAAATGCTTCATACTTGGACAAAAGTGTAACAAGAACTACCTATTAAAATTAGAAAAAGAAAAAAAAACTAATTTTCTAATACGCATGGAAATATTTTAATGAAACTTTATAGATTGATGTAAAGCTAACACAATTGGGTCATGTGCACTGTTGAAAATTGGACAGTATGGAAATGCTTCATACTTGGACAAAAGTGTAACAAGAACTACCTATTAAAATTAGAAAAAGAAAAAAAAACTAATTTTCTAATACGCATGGAAATATTTTAATGAAACTTTATAGATTTTTTTACTTAATGCTCCCACTGGGACTCCCAAACAAATTTATCCCGTTTTCAGGCTTAAACCGGACAGAAAAAAATTATAAGTTTTTTAAAATTATATCAAGTTTTAAAGCCAATCTTTGGTGTGATACATTATTTATTGATATTCTAACAATTTCTTAGAATAAAAAATATTTTATCAGTCTGATTGGGAGCATTTTGCAGATGGGCTATGACGTAGTATCCTACCATGCTAGGGCTCCATAAGTTAATAAAGACATTTAGGAAAACACAATTAAGACATCTATTTTTGTGCCCCCACGTTAGTGGCGGGCATTTAGATTTACCCTTGTCCGTCCGTCCTTCCGTCCGTCCGTCTGTCCGTCCGTCCGTCCGTCCTTCCGTCCGTCCTTCCGTCCGTCCGTCCGTTCACTTTTGTGTCGCACGTAACTCAAAAAGTATTTAACCTAGAGTCATGAAACTTTACAGAAATGTTGATCAGCATGTGTAGTTGTGCACCTGGTATTTTCGTCTGGATATTTTTAGTATTTTCAGAGTTATTGCCCTTGACTTTGTAAAATTTTGCAATTTTTCAACTTTGTGTCGCATGTAACTCAAAAAGTATTTGACCTACAGTCATGAAACTTTACAGGAATGTTGATCAGCATGTGTAGTTGTGCACCTGGGTATTTTCGTCTGGATATCTTTAGTATTTTCAGAGTTATTGCCCTTGACTTTGTAAAATTTTGCAATTTTCAAAACTTGTGTTGCATGTAACTCAAAAAGTATTTGACCTACAGTCATGAAACTTTACAGGAATGTTGAATCAGCATGTGCAGTTGTGCACCTGGGTATTTTCGTCTGGATATTTTTAGCATTTTCAGAGTAATTGCCCTTGACTTAGTAAAATTTTGCAATTTCAACTTGTGTCGCTTGTAACTCAAAAAAGTATTTGACCTACAGTCATGAAACTTTACAGGAATGTTGATCAGCATGTGTAGTTGTGCACCTGGGTATTTTCTTCTGGATATTTTTAGTATTTTCAGAGTTATTGCCCTTGACTTAGTAAAATTTTGCAATTTTCAACTTGTGTCGCTACTAACTTCAAAAAAAAAATTTGACCTAGAGTCATGAAACTTTAAAGGAATGTTGATCAGCATGTGTAGTTGTGGCACCTGGTATTTTTCGTCTGGATATTTTTAGTATTTTCAGAGTTATTGCCCTTGACTTAGTAAAATTTGGCAATTTTCAACATGTGTCGGCACGTTAACTCAAAAGTATTTGACTTAGAGTCATGTAACTTTACAGGAATATTGATCAGCATGTTGCAGTTGTGTGCACCAGGTATTTTCGTCTGGATTTATTAGGTATTTTTAGAGTTATTGCCCTTTCACTTTGAAAATTTTTTGCAATTTTCAACTTGTGTCGCAAGTTTCTCAAGAAGGATTTGACATAGTCATTAAACCTTATGGGCAGGTTGCTCAGCATATTTTAGATTTGCACCTGGGGTTTCGCTTGTGGATTTATCCAGTATTTGTAGAGTTATTTCCCTTGACTTAGTAAAGAGATTGAGAGAACAGTGGCGCGGTGGGGGCACCCGTGTCCTATGGACACATTTCTAGTTTTTTGTGAAATAATAATGTTAAGAGCTTATATATTTGGCTTGTTACATCTAAGTAGACCTTACCAAAGATTTTATATATCTTGCTGATTCTACTGAATTCATTTAGCAGTGGATTTCAGGGGAGCAAACTAAGGCCAATATGTTAACTCTGTCAGAATATTTCCTTGAATGATATTTAAGACAGGTTGGGACATGGGTCATCTTATGTCAAACAAGTTGCATAATCATTTGAACTGCATTGTACTTATTTTGGGCACTTTGGCATTCTTGTTTTTCACTTGTAGAAAATGGCTAACCAATCCAGTTCGCAAGTTAAGTACCAATAAGATAGAGAAGGGTACAGCCCCTGTATTAGAGGGACAGAAAGGAGATTATATAGAGAGACAGATGACTGGAATGCTTGCTGCCTCCAGGGTAAGTACTGCACATTTCAATCAAATTATATATTCTGAAATAAAATCATATTTTTTAAGCATTAGTTTTTGGCCTGGTGATGGTGATCACCAAACCATAGGTAATAACC